ACAGCGGTTTTGAGTATATGCTTACTCCTTCATCAGGTGAATGAATGCCATGAGGCAGAGAACATATATATGTACATGTAAGGGCAACACAATTTAAAAGATAACAAAAGGTGGAAAATAACATAGGGTAGAAACTTGTACATATATATGCTCTGTCTTTTCAAGACTCGATTATTTACAGACCGCCGTTATATAGCTTGACTATTGCTGAGTGCGGCGTTAACCACAAACAAACAACATGCACAGACAGACAGGTTTATATAATATTATGGCCATATGGCCTAAAGCACAATTGATACTAACTCATAATATGCTGTCACCTGAATATACAGAAATTACATCTCCTTGAATCTGAAATTAAAACATGCTTTATATTGTGAGTGAGTGAGTTTAGTTTTACGCCGCTTTTAGCAATATTCCAGCAATATCACGGCGGGGGACACCAGAAATGGGCCTCACACATTGTGCCCATGTCGGGAATCGAACCCGGGTCTTCGGCGTGACGAGCGAACGCTTTAACCACGAGGCTACCCGACCGCCCCTGCTTTATATAAGTAGCCACTGAAAAGATAACATGTTTATTTTGAGAGTTGATAACATTTATCATTAACATTTCAGATTTATAGTCATTATTCAAGAAAGGAAGATATGAAGATCTTAACTTGGAATACTTGTTACACTTAAATAAGACATGGAATTCATCTTCAATTTCATCTCTGTCACAATTACGACAAACACTATTGACAGCATCAATATATTTCGAATTACGACACATATTTACATTGAAATTATGTAATGAGATTCCAAATTTACAAAACGATCTTATTAATGACTTGTCTGGTAAGACAGATAAATACATTTTCTGTCACAAAGATAATGCGAAGATGAAACAGTTTTGTGCAAATATATATTTCACTCGCTGCTTAAATATTCCTATAAACACTTGAATGTTACAAATTCCTGTGCAATCCACCCAAGTGAAAAACCACATGTAAATAACAGATTTCTTACTTCAGATACCCAAGTATGTTTAGCTTTATCATCCAACTGCTTCGACAATTTGTAACATTGAAGAGGATATCTGCATTCTTCAATTCTTATTAACTTTATCCAGTATTATAGCTCCCCTTACTTGGCCATGCACAGACATATTGCAGCCTCCAGTTTCACCAAGAATTACTTCATTTGAGGCATATTTACCAATACCATTGAACCTTGAGGTGTGTACTTTTTCGACAGCAGCATACTATTTTGTTCCCAATTTTTCCAAACCATATAATATATAGGTGCAATTTTACAATAAAAAATGTTGCATGCTGTTGAAAATGATACATACTTATTTTGTTTTAACAATTTATACATATACATACATGCTTTTGAAGCTTTTATAGCAAGTTGTTTACATGCTACTGACATTAATTTAGAAAAATAACATGATACCCAAATTTTGTATAGTAAGTTTCAACCTTACACGCCGCTATACTATATAACTGCAATAATCTTGGACACGACGTGAAACCAGCCTCACCTCACCTTAATTACGACCTGGTTGTAACTTGATTGTAACATGGTTGTGACTTGAGACATGATTGTGACATGATCATGATTTTGACTTGTGACATGATTGTGACAAGGTTGTGACTTGATTGTGGTGTAGTTTGTGACATGATTGTGACCAGGTTGTGACATGATTGTGACAAGGTTGTGACTTGATTGTGACATGATTGTGGTGAAGTTTGTGACATGATTGTGGTGTAGTTTGTGACATGATTGTGACATGATTGTGACATGATTGTGACCAGGTTGTGACTTGATTGTGACATGATTGTGACCAGGTTGTGACTTGATTGTGACATGATTGTGGTGTGGTTTGTGACATGATTGTGGTGTAGTTTGTGACATGATTGTGGTGTAGTTTGTGACATGATTGTGGTGTAGTTTGTGACATGATTGTGACCAGGTTGTGACATGATTGTGACCAGGTTGTGACTTGATTGTGACATGATTGTGGTGTAGTTTGTGACATGATTGTGGTGTAGTTTGTGACATGATTGTGATCAGGTTGTGACATGATAGTGACCAGGTTGTGACATGATTGTGACCAGGTTGTGACTTGATTGTGACTTGATTGTGGTGTAGTTTGTGACATGATTGTGGTGTGGTTTGTGACATGGTTGTGGTGTAGTTTGTGACATGATTGTGATCAGGTTGTGACTTGATTGTGACATGATTTTGACTTGATTGTGACATGATTGTGGTGTAGTTTGTGACATGATTGTGACCAGGTTGTAACATGATTGTGATCAGGTTGTGACTTGATTGTGACATGATTGTGATGTGGTTTGTGACATGATTGTGGTGTAGTTTGTGACATGATTGTGATCAGGTTGTGATTTGATTGTGACCAGGTTGTGACTTGATTGTGATCAGGTTGTGACTTGATTGTGACATGATTGTGACCAGGTTGTGACTTGATTGTGACTTGATTGTGGTGTAGTTTCTGACTTGATTGTGGTGTAGTTTCTGACTTGATTGTGACATGATTGTGGTGTAGTTTGTAACTTGATTGTGACATGATTGTGGTGTAGTTTCTGACTTGATTGTGACTTGATTGTGGTGTAGTTTCTGACATGATTGTGACATGATTGTGGTGTAGTTTTTGACATGATTGTGGTGTAGTTTGTGACATGATTGTGTTGTAGTTTGTGACATGATTGTGATCAGGTTGTGACATGATTGTGACAAGGTTTTGACTTGATTGTGACATGATTGTGGTGTAGTTTGTGACTTGATTGTGGTGTAGTTTGTGACTTGATTGTGGTGTAGTTTCTGACTTGATTGTGACATGATTGTGGTGTAGTTTGTGACTTGATTGTGACATGATTGTGGTGTAGTTTCTGACATGATTGTGACATGATTGTGGTGTAGTTTGTGACATGATTGTGGTGTAGTTTGTGACATGATTGTGGTGTAGTTTGTGACATGATTGTGATCAGGTTGTGACATGATTGTGACAAGGTTTTGACTTGATTGTGACATGATTGTGGTGTAGTTTGGGACATGATTGTGGTGTAGTTTGTGACATGATTGTGACCAGGTTGTGACTTGATTTTGACCAGGTTGTGACTTGATTGTGACATGATTGTGGTGTAGTTTGTGACATGATTGTGACAAGGTTGTGACTTGATTGTGGTGTAGTTTGTGACATGATTGTGACCAGGTTGTTACTTGATTGTGACATGATTGTGGTGTAGTTTGTGACATGATTGTGACCAGGTTGTGACTTGATTGTGACCAGGTTGTGACTTGATTGTGACATGATTGTGGTGTAGTTTGTGACATGATTGTGGTGTAGTTTGTGACATGATTGTGATCAGGTTGTGACTTGATTGTGACCAGGTTGTGACTTGATTGTGACATGATTGTGGTGTGGTTTGTGACATGATTGTGGTGTGGTTTGTGACATGATTGTGGTGTAGTTTGTGACATGATTGTGACCAGGTTGTGACATGATTGTGATCTGACTGTGGTGTTTGCGACTCACGCCCAGTCTGTTCGTTCTTTATAGTTTCTGTATCCTTGGGTCTATTGTCTTACACCGAGTAATTCTGCTGATGAGAGTGCGTCATTTCGAGGAGGTCACGGACAATATTATACATTCTCACGAAGACAAATCACGCTATCGCAACATAACGGATCATGTCGGGTTATCTGAGTTGTTGGTACGAATATTTCATTCACGCATTGGGACTTCCTTAACGGTGCATGATCACAGTTATTTTGTGACTGATGTTCTCTTCAATGGGGCCCCGATCATGATCCTTGGGTTGTAGCACCATGCCCGTGCTCCTGCGTTCCTAGATAGTGGTCAACGGCAGACTCGACACTACACACCACTAGGGTACGATGACATTCTTCATCAGCCAGACCTCACACTTGGGTACGTGACATTCTTCATCAGCCACACCTCATCACTAGGGTACGATGACATTCTTCATCATACAGACCTCACCACTTGGGTACGATGACATTCTTCATCAGACAGAACACACCACTAGGGTACGATGACATTCTTCATCAGACAGAACACACCACTTGGGTACGATGACATTCTTCATCAGACAGAACACACCACAAGGGTACGATGACATTCTTCATCAGACAGAACACACCACTTGGGTACGATGACATTCTTCATCAGACAGAACACACCACTAGGGTACGATGACATTCTTCATCAGACAGATCTCACCACTTGGGTACGATGACATTCTTCATCAGACAGACCTCATCACTTGGGTACGATGACATTCTTCATCAGACAGAACACACCACTTGGGTACGATGACATTCTTCATCAGACAGACCTCATCACTTGGGTACGATGACATTCTTCATCAGACAGAACACACCACTTGGGTACGATGACATTCCTCACCAGACAGACCTCACCACTAGGGTACGATGACATTCTTCATCAGACAGAACACACCACTTGGGTACGATGACATTCCTCACCAGACAGACCTCACCACTAGGGTACGATGCAATTGTTCATTAGACAGACCTCGCACTTGGGTACGATGCAATTTTTCATCAGCCAGACCGCTTGATCGGAATATGATTATACCCTTGATCAGACTAACAATTAAGGACAGATTAAGCGAAGTATGAAATCAGGTTCCAGGCCATGGCAAATGTATTGTCGAGAACGTCGAAGCCCTTCACTCACATCACTGCAGCACAAAGCTTGCGGAGAAGCAATGTTGACATATTTTATGTGCGCCTCGAATATAAGGCACTAGTACGTACATTGCCTGTCTTGTACAAAATACTCTTGTGTCTTTTCATCTTGATCAGCACGCAGTTTGCTTTGATCAGAATATACAAGAGTCTGTGAAAGGAGGTAAATACACTAGCTTCGTTCATCCATCTGTTGTCGACCCGCTAAGTGATAGTATAACCGTTTTTGGACAGGTAGATATCAAACACGAACTAGAGACAGGAAAATATCTCTTTTTTATTCAAAAATAAACACACATAATTAACAAGCTAATATCAGCAGTCTCCAGCAACAACAAGAAATAAAAATATTGAAAAGCTCGCCAGTTGCAGAACTTAACGATTTCATAATACGGACATTTCAGAAATATTTTATTTTGTATTATTTAATCTCAAAAGTTCCTCAAAACGGGAACCAATTTCCAATTGTGGAAACGTTCCTAAGATAAGAAAATGGCCAAAAACACTGAAACCTTCACGAAAAGGGTCAGTCACAGCGCACTATCAAGCCCGGTCAAGGTGCTTCTATAATGCTGTGTACTAGAGAGGTTCTATATTACTGTTTACCAAAGAGATTCAAGCCAATTTTGATGTTTTGTACGGTACATATTAATAAAAACTAAATTTTACCGAAACAATATTTCTGCGTCGGAGAGGGCTCTGGTGTAATTTGTAAGTATTAAATCTAACATATACATGAGACAAGCTAATTACACAGGACAAGCCACAATAGCCGCTTACATTGAAGTCATAATCACCGCTTGAGTATTACATATGTATTATTGCTTTTTGTAGTATCAATAGTGGTTTCGTGTCCTTACTCAATCATTTAAATTGTTTGTTTCAACAATCGGGGAAGTAAACAAGTGCAGCATCGTTGTCATATCAATAGGTGTTTGTTTCCTGTGAAAACTGGCAGGTATGGGACGCAACTCTTGTCAGTAATTCCGCCTGTTTCTCCAGAACGCCCCCGTTTTGAACCTAAAATCTATTGGCGATGAAGAGGCTTGTTTTATTTTATACTTGGGACATACTTGATAACCTGTTGATTCATAAGATATTTATTAAGTAATTCATATCATCAAAAGGTTTGTGGGCGCATGTTTGTAATTGTGCCCATACATAAGTATATTTTAACCAAATCATGTCAAAAGCAATTTCCTCACAACTGTTAAATTACTGGAGCTTCCGCAGAAGGTGTTCGTTAGTTGTGTTATAACACTACGTTTAGTGTATGCATATATTTACACAGACACCCATACCAGGCACAAACGCCTATATTAGACCAGGCGGATATGGCAGCCATCTCCAGCACATGCATTGCCTTCAAAATAACTGTCAGTTATAGCCATAGATGTTAAGTATCAAAGAAATCGCAAGAAATACAAATATGTCAAATAAAAGATATGTATAAGGCAGAAAGGACAGATATGTTCATCTTTGAATTCTGATTTTAAAAAAATCAGTTAATGATGAACATAAAATAGTGTATTTAGTATACTAGTTTTCCTTAGTAGTGACAGCAGCTGATATATACCGAACACCTTTGGCACAGTAATACTACTACTACTACTACTACTACTACTACTACTACTACTACTACTACTACCAAATAAATAACTAAAAACCATTGACCAGACGCCATACATGCAAACGTGTTAAAAGCGTACCACATATTATTACCCTGATCATCGGAGCAAATCTAGAGTGGCTTCATTTAGCATTATCAGCTCCTGTATAAACGTGTACGGATATTGGCAGACAACAGCGTTCCCTGAATATAAACTGGTATTGACGTTTTACAAATTACGAGGACAGGTCGTTTTACAGTGAATCAGCTGATTAATGAACTGCACACCACTCAACAATTATTTAAACAACGCGACAGAAGCTGCGAAAATGAAAGGAAAACACTCAACATGAAAATGGAAAAAGAAGAAGATAAACAACACTCCAAAACTGGATATGCATAGATCTAGAACAGGATTTCCTTTCCTCTCTACGAGGCCTCATTAAATAGATTATTTGTCCCTGCTACTAAAACCTCCCCGTGATTATTGAAGCAGATTACAAACCACGTGGGGCTTGAACCTATCTTTCTTCAGGTGGACATGGGAAAGGAGTGAGTGAGTGAGTGAGTGAGTTGGGTTTAACGCCGCTTTTAACAGTATTCCAGTTAATTCACGGCGTGTCAGTTTAATGTTGGAGAAAAGCCTGAAGTGATGCAGGTCTTAGACGTTTAACACTTCGGTGAAACCCACGAGTACCGGTATGGTGCTGACAAACCTAGAAACATAATCGGGGCGAACCGGGATTCGAACCCACAATCATAGGTTTCTGGCGTGCCCAAGGGACGCAACTCTGCACAGCGAATCGCGGCGCCCTAGACGACTGGGCAACCGGTGCCCCCACATGGGAAAGGAACCAACTGTAGAAATAATAGCATCTAATAAGTTGTTGAAATGAAGTAGAAATATAAAGGACTACAAACACTTCGTGATTCGAATCATCCTGGTAAAGGAATCCGATGAACTACAATTAAACTATTACAATTAAAATCAGATCTTTTACTCCGATACGATACCGCTCTGTGTCAAGATCAGCAGAGAAGTTCGGGTCAGGTGAACCTGCATTAGCGAACTTTGACTGCCCAATCTGAATGAAAGATGCGCGGGTTCTTGAGCCAATCAGATGTCAACTATCAAAACTTATTTACCACCTTATATTGGAAATGTATATTCTTACAAATGAAAAACTAAACAGAACACAAATATTCCCTCGATCGTAATCCCTTTTATGCTTGAATGCCACGTTGCTAAAAAACGACAGCTATATTAAATATCCAAAACAAAATAGCGCGGCTTTAAGAATGGCAGTCGGAAGTCCCCGGTTATATTCGTTTTCGAGATCTAGAAATCGCACATGTTGTTCTGAATGTTTCGCTCACTCTTACCAAGAATGCTGAAGCCTTGGCGCCGATTGGCTGATTAGACAGTTCCCCTGACGTGACCTTCTATAGAGGTGTCCTCAGATCTTCAGGCAGAGAGGTATCGTATTGAAGTAACAGATCTGATTTTAATGAGATTGTAATTGTAAGAACCCTTTGATTTTTTTCTTGTACAATGCAGGCTTATGCATACACATGCCCTTCTAGCAGGAATAAATATCACTCACGCGTGTATTGTAAAGGAAAGATCGAACCCGTGTCTGCTAACACGCTTCCTACTGTGCCAACAGCGTCAGTCTGCAAGTCTACAGGTTCCATTTTACCACATGAATCAAAGGCTCGTTCCATAAAGCGCGATAATTTATACAGTCCGACACTGTCACTCGTCACTCTGGGGTAGTACCTATACCTGACTCCCACTTAGGTACTCAGGAAATACCACACCCGACTCACACTTGGGTACTCGGGTGGTACCTATACCTTACTCACACATGGGTACTGGGTATTTGGAGACTCGACCAAGACCTAAATTACTATTCCTCGGAAATTTTGGCAACCCGTTTTACCCGGAACGTTGGCAATAAACCGAGCTATCAGTCCGACACATTTACCAGCCGCAAAAGATACAAATCAGCCTTTGTTTAATGACTCCTTGTTTATCGGATGTAACCTACTTGTTTTAACGATTCATGACACGAACTCGCTGAATACAGTGTGTTGTGAATCCTATACAGATAGATCTGCATCAAATAATTGTAGGAAGTCAGTCAGGAACTGTCACCAAGGAGGTTATACGTGACATCTTTGTTTTCGAAACAGCAAGTATATAAAAAACTGAAGGAAGTCAGTCAGGAAGTGTCATCAAGGAGGTTCAACGTGATATCTTTGTTTTCGAAACAGCAAGTTGAGCTACCTAGCAAAACGCTGTCCACGGACACGCCCAGCCACTGCCCACGTTGTCGTAGATGTAAGCTGGGTGGGGCAGAGTCTAGTCGTTGGTCCACATCACGCTGTGGTAGGCGGGGAACTTGACCCTCAGGATCTGCATAGACACCTCGTGGTTGGCCCGGCCGTAGCCCTAGAGGGAAGGAGAAGCTTGTGTATTAGGAGGGGCTGGGACACAATTTAATATTCTTATTTTATCAATCTCAGTTTTACTCCGAAATGATACCCTCTTAGACTGACACATAGTACAAGAACTTTTTCATTACACAATACATTTCTCCACTCATATTTGGTTTCCCGATGCTGTGGAATAGTGCTGGCTGAACCTGCTTTTATATTCTCTAATCGGGTTATATTTTCATAAAACACATGTAGTCCACATTCATGGTGCAGGATTAGATACCTCCCAGCGTGGAGATCTGAGGATACCTTCATAGTATAGTGAACTTTTCTTTCTCACAAATTATCTGACAAGCATATCTGATTTCTGTATCTCGTAACGAACAAAAACGAACAGTTGATAAAGGCGCCATTATAATTGTTGTGGATATTTTATACACAGTGTCATTTCCGAACTTCATGGCATCAACATCCAGAAGGGAATATCTTGGACGGAATATTTGTGTTCTGTGTGGTTTTTCTTTCATAACAAATCGAAATGTCCGAATCGAGGTGGTAAAGAAATCAAGGCGTAAGTTTTAGAAAGCTGGCAGACATCTTATTGGCCACACCCACACCTCCTTCAATTCGACTGGGTCAAAGTTCACTCATGGTTCACCTGACGCGAGCTCCTTTGGATGTTTACGCAGAGACATCAGAGTAAAATATCTGATTTTAATGAGATATATTCCCTAATTCACCCAAGAAATTATCAACAAACATGAAAAATAGTATTTCGCTAGTTGGACACGTTTTCTGAGACAAGTACCACTGAGTTCATTACGCTGTCTCAGTATAACTGCTAATGGAAGCTTTCCAGAAAAATAACGAGTTGTTCCGGATAACAATGAGCGCATGTTGTTTTACGCAGCAGTCAATATTCAAGCTGTATCACCACAGCTAGATGTGTTGCTTAACGGCGCCCTCGGCAATATTCTAACTGTATCACCACAGCTAGATGTTTTGTTTAACGGCGCCCTCGGCAATATTCTAGCTGTATCACCACAGCTAGATGTGTTGTTTAACGGCGCCCTCAGCAACATTCCAGCTATATCACCACAGCTAGATGTGTTGTTTAACGGCGCCCTCAGCAACATTCCAGCTGTATCACCACAGCTAGATGTGTTGTTTAACGGCGCCCTCGGCAATATTCTAGCTGTATCACCACAGCTAGATGTTTTGTTTAACGGCGCCCTCGGCAACATTCCAGCTGTATCACCAGAGCTAGATGTTTTGTTTAACGGCGCCCTCGGCAATATTCTAGCTGTATCACCACAGCTAGATGTGTTGTTTAACGGCGCCCTCAGCAACATTCCAGCTATATCACCACAGCTAGATGTGTTGTTTAACGGCGCCCTCGGCAATATTCCAGCTATATCACCACAGCTAGATGTGTTGTTTAACGGCGCCCTCAGCAATATTCTAGCTATATCACCACAGCTAGATGCGTTGTTTAACGGCGCCCTCAGCAACATTCCAGCTATATCACCACAGCTAGATGTGTTGTTTAACGGCGCCCTCGGCAATATTCTAGCTATATCACCACAGCTAGATGTGTTGTTTAACGGCGCCCTCGGCAACATTCCAGCTGTATGACGCCGGTGAGTACATAAAGCAGACCGTCCGGTGATTGACAACAATCACACGCAATTGGGATGCAATCGCACGCTATCAAACCAAGTCAGCGAGTCTGACCACTCGATCCATTTCGTCACCTGTTATGACAAGCATCGTCGTGGGGCCTATATTCTTACAGGTTTGGATAGGATGACGTTCAAATCTAGTATATGGGCCGGGGTAATGTCCCTTGAACAAAAATCCCCCAGACCTTGCCAAGGCTGGACGGCAGCCTGAACTCGAAGCTTAGCCAAGCAGGCCAGTGGTTCGTACTATGAGTAAAAACCAACGCGTTCGGGACACAATGGCACAATCCGCCCTGTCACTCATTGCAATCCCCAATCCTCATAAGTCCGGTTTACTACAGCATGGAATCCTGGAGACCTGTTCTGTCAAGATCCCAGCCGACATCCGCCAACCAAGCCTGTCAAACCAGGGTTCACAAGGCAACTTTATGATCAACATAAATCTGCCATTTCGATTAATTTTGAGAAATTCGCCACATCAAAGTGGAGAAAACATGTTCACAATGAAAATATTGTCTCAACTGAACGTGGGCCAAATTAGCATTCTGTTAAAATTCTTTTATAATTCTGTTTTTATAGTGACATTTTTTAGTTTACCTGAGATTTTCCAAATATCCTGATAGTTTTGGCGTCTGGGTCGTGCTCGATTTTACCGCCTCCCACACACTCGCACATGATGCCCTCCGACTCCAGCTGGGCATCCAGCACGTCGTAGATGTCCGCTGTAAACAGAGGGAGTGAGTGAGTGAGTGCGTGAGTGAGTGAGTGAGTTAGTGAGTGCGTGAGTGCGTGAGTGAGTGAGTGCCTGAGTGAGTGAGTGCGTGTGTGCGTGAGTGAGTGAGTGCGTGCGTGCGTGCGTGCGTGAGTGAGTGAGTGAGTGCGTGAGTGCGTGAGTGAGTAACAGTACTCCTGTTATATGATGGCTGGTCTGCTTGATGTGGGACAAAAGGCCGAACTGGTGCGGGTCTTAGACTTTTATCACTTTAGTGAATTCCTGAACTACAGAAACATAATCAGAGCGAATATGGGATTTCCTACCCACGACCATAGTCGTCTGATAGTCTAAGGGACGCAACTCTGCAACTCGCCTTAGAAGCGAGCCAGCAAATCAGTTGGTGTCAGCACACACACCTGTGTGGCATCATTCTTCCCGGCCAAAACAAAACACAGATAAACTTCATCCTTATCCTTTATGTAACACATAGCTTTATTCTCATTCAGCATATACTTCACTCCCATTCAACATATACTTCACTCCCATTCAACATATACTTCACTCCAATTCAACATGTACTTTATTCTCATTCAGCATATGATTCCTTCCCACTCAACATATACTTCATTCTAATTCAACATATACTTCACTCCCATTCAACATATACTTCACTCCAATTCAACATGTACTTTATTCTCATTCAACATATACTTCATTCCCTTTCAATATATACATCACTCCCAATCAACATATTACGTTATTACCATTACCATTCAACATTTCTACACCATATATACACTCGCCATTCTCCTTCTACACTAAATGTACACATTCGTCAATGTCTTTCTACACCGCATATACACACTCGTCCTTCTCTTTCTACACAAAATATACACACTCGTCAATGTCTTTCTACACCATATATACACACTTGTCATTCTCTTTCTGTACCATATACACACACACTCGTCACTCCCTTTCTACACCATATATACACACTCGCCCTTCTCTTTCTGCAACATATATACACACTCGTCCTTCTCTTTCTGCAACATATATACACACTCGTCCTTCTCTTTCTGCACCATATATACACACTCGTCATTCTCTTTCTACAACATATATACACACTTGTCATTCTCTTTCTACACCATATATACACACTCGCCATTCTCCTTCTACACCATATATACACACTCGTCATTTTCTTTCTACACCATATATACACACTCGTCATTACCTTTCTACACCATATATACACACTCGTCACTCTCTTTCTGCACCATATATACACACTCGTCATTCTCTTTCTACAACATATATACACAATTGTCATTCTCTTTCTACACCACATATACACACTCGCAATTCTCCTTCTACACCATATATACACACTCGTCATTCTCTTTCTACACCATATATACACACTCGTCATTACCTTTCTACACCATATATACACACTCGTCACTCTCTTTCTGCACCATATATACACACTCGTCACTCTCTTTCTGCACCATATATTCACACTCGTCATTACCTTTCTACACCATATATACACACTCGTCACTCTCTTTCTGCACCATATATACACACTCGCCATTCTCCTTCTACACCATATATACACACTCGTCATTCTCTTTCTACACCATATATACACACTCGTCATTCTCTTTCTGCATCATATATACACACTCGTCACTCTCTTTCTGCACCATATATACACACTCGTCATTCTCTTTCTGCACCATATATACACACTCGTCATTCTCTTTCTGCATCATATATTCACACTCGTCATTCTCTTTCTACACCATATATACACACTCGTCATTACCTTTCTACACCATATATACACACTCGTCACTCTCTTTCTGCACCATATATACACACTCGTCACTCTCTTTCTGTACCATATATACACACTCGTCATTCTCCTTCTACACCATATATACACACTCGTCATTCTCTTTCTACAATATATATACACACTTGTCATTCTCTTTCTGCACCATATATACACACTCGTCATTCTCTTTCTACAACATATATACACAATTGTCATTCTCTTTCTACACCACATATACACACTCGCAATTCTCCTTCTACACCATATATACACACTCGTCATTCTCTTTCTACACCATATATACACACTCGTCATTACCTTTCTACACCATATATACACACTCGTCACTCTCTTTCTGCACCATATATACACACTCGTCACTCTCTTTCTGCACCATATATACACACTCGTCATTACCTTTCTACACCATATATACACACTCGTCACTCTCTTTCTGCACCATATATACACACTCGCCATTTTCCTTCTACACCATATATACACACTCGTCATTCTCTTTCTACACCATATATACACACTCGTCATTCTCTTTCTGCATCATATAGAGACACTCGTCACTCTCTTTCTGCACCATATATACACACTCGTCATTCTCTTTCTGCACCATATATACACACTCGTCATTCTCTTTCTGCATCATATATACACACTCGTCATTCTCTTTCTACACCATATATACACACTCGTCATTACCTTTCTACACCATATATACACACTCGTCACTCTCTTTCTGCACCATATATACACACTCGTCACTCTCTTTCTGTACCATATATACACACTCGTCATTCTCCTTCTACACCATATATACACACTCGTCATTCTCTTTCTACAATATATATACACACTTGTCATTCTCTTTCTACACCATATATACACACTCGCCATTCTCCTTCTACACCATATATACACACTCGTCATTCTCTTTCTACACTATATATACACACTCGTCATTCTCTTTCTACACCACATATACACACTCGTTCTTCTCTTTCTACACCACATATACACACTCGTCCTTCTCTTTCTACACCACATATACACACTCGTCATTCTCTTTCTGCACCATATATACACACTCGTCATTCTCTTTCTACACCACATATACACACTCGTCATTCTCTTTCTACACCATATATACACACTCGTCACTCTCTTTCTGCACCATATATACACACTCGTCACTCTCTTTCTACACCATTATAGACACACTCGTCACTCCCTTTCTACACCAAATAGACACACCCGTCCTTCTCTTTCTACACCACATATACACACTCGTCATTCTCTTTCTACACCATATATACACACTCGTCATTCCCTTTCTGCACCATATAGAGACACTCGTCATTCTCTTTCTACACCACATATACACACTCGTCACTCTCTTTCTGCATCATATATACACACTCGTCACTCTCTTTCTGCACCATATATACACACTCGTCACTCTCTTTCTGCACCATATATACACACTCGTCATTCTCTTTCTGCACCATATATACACACTCGTCACTCTCTTTCTGCACCATATATACACACTCGTCACTCTCTTTCTGTACCATATATACACACTCGTCATTCTCCTTCTACACCACATATACACACTCGTTCTTCTCTTTCTACACCACATATACACACTCGTCCTTCTCTTTCTACACCACATATACACACTCGTCACTCCCTTTCTGCACCATATATACACACTCGTCATTCTCTTTCTGCACCATATATACACACTCGTCATTCTCTTTCTGCACCATATATACACACTCGTCATTCTCTTTCTACACCACATATACACACTCGTCATTCTCTTTCTACACCATATATACACACTCGTCACTCTCTTTCTGCACCATATATACACACTCGTCACTCTCTTTCTACACCATTATAGACACACTCGTCACTCCCTTTCTACACCAAATAGACACACCCGTCCTTCTCTTTCTACACCACATATACACACTCGTCATTCTCTTTCTACACCATATATACACACTCGTCATTCCCTTTCTGCACCATATAGAGACACTCGTCATTCTCTTTCTACACCACATATACACACTCGTCACTCTCTTTCTGCATCATATATACACACTCGTCACTCTCTTTCTGCACCATATATACACACTCGTCACTCTCTTTCTGCACCATATATACACACTCGTCATTCTCTTTCTGCACCATATATACACACTCGTCACTCTCTTTCTACACCATATATACACACTCGTCACTCCCTTTCTACACCATATAGACACACTCGTCACTCCCTTTCTGCACCATATATACACACTCGTCATTCTCTTTCTGCACCATATATACACACTCGTCACTCTCTTTCTACACCATATATACACACTCGTCACTCCCTTTCTACACCATATAGACACACTCGTCACTCCCTTTCTACACCATATAGACACAAAAAGGGTGTATTAAATAGGGGTGAATGATGAGGCGGTGTATGACAAGAGGGAGTTGTATGGTGAGGGAATGTAGGGCAAATGGGGTGTATGACGAAGGTGTGTGTGGCAAATGGGGTGTATGAAGAGTGGTTGTATGGCAAATGTAGTGTATGGTGAGGGGTGTGTGTGTGTGTAGGGCAATTGGGGTGCATGACAAGGGTGTGTGTGGCAAATGGGGTGTATGGTGAGGGTGTGTGTGTGTGTGTGTGTGTGTGTAGGGCAATTTGGGTGCATGACAAGGGTGTGTGTGGCAAATGGGGTGTATGGTGAGGGGGGGGGGGAAGAGTAGGGGGTGCATGACAAGGGCGTGTATGGCAAATGGGGTGTATGATGAGGGCGTGTATGACAAGAGGGGTGTATTATGATGAGGGGTGTATGACAAGATGGGTATATGATGAGGGTAGGGTGGGGGTGGGGGTGGGGGGGGTGGGGTGTATGGCAAATGGGGTGTATGATGAGGGGGTGTATGACAAATGGGATGTATGAGGGGGTGTATGACAAGAGGGGTGTATGATGAGGGGGTGTATGACAAATGGGATGTATGATGAGGGGGTTTATGACAAGAGAGGTATATGATGAGGGGGTGTATGACAAGAGGGGTATATGATGAGGGGCTGTATAACAAGAGGGGTATATGATGAGGGGCTGTATAACAAGAGGGGTATATGATGAGGGGGTGTATAACAAGAGGGGTATGTGATGAGGGGCTGTATAACAAGAGGGGTGTATGATGAGGGGGTGTATAACAAGAGGGGTATATGATTAGGGGGTGTATGACAAAAGAGGTATATGATGAGGGGCTGTATAACAAGAGGGGTATATGATGAGGGGGTGTATAACAAGAGGGGTATATGATGAGGGGGTGTATGACAAGAGGGGTGTATGATGAGGGGGTGTATAACAAGAGGGGTGTATGATGAGGGGCTGTATAACAAGAGGGGTGTATGATGAGGGGGTGTATGACAAAAGAGGTATATGATGAGGGGGTGTATGGCAAGATGGGTATATGATGAGGGGTGTATAACAAGAGGGGTGTATGATGAGGGGCTGTATAACAAGAGGGGTATATGATGAGGGGGTGTATGACAAAAGAGGTATATGATGAGGGGGTGTATAACAAGAGGGGTGTATGATGAGGGGGTATATAACAAGAGGGGTGTATGATGAGGGGGTGTATAACAAGAGGGGTATATGATGAGGGGCTGTATAACAAGAGGGGTGTATGATGAGGGGCTGTATAACAAGAGGGGTATATGATGAGGGGCTGTATAACAAGAGGGGTGTATGATGAGGGGGTATATAACAAGAGGGGTGTATGATGAGGGGGTGTATAACAAGAGGGGTATATGATGAGGGGCTGTATAACAAGAGGGGTGTATGATGAGGGGCTGTATAACAAGAGGGGTATATGATGAGGGGCTGTATAACAAGAGGGGTGTATGATGAGGGGGTGTATGACAAGAGGGGTATATGATGAGGGGTTGTATGGCAAAAAGGGACAAATGATGAGCTGGTGCATGACAAGAGGGTTATATGATGAGGGGGGTATAGGATGTAAAACAAATGGCGTGCATGACAAGTGGGATGTTAGAAAAGTGAGGTGTATGACAAACGGGGTAGCACATTTAAGAAACAAATACGCAACGTGAGTCCCCCCACACCCCCCAACTGCCACACACACCCGTATATAAATATATCTTGCCGTCCTACACAGAGTTCTATATCGTCTCATAAGAACCACATTTCATCAATAGTGCATAATCGTATACAACTCAAATTTCCGTGACCTTTCATGTTTTCTTGGCGTCAAGCCATGCACAGAAGCACATAGGAATCATAGGAGTAAGTCCACAGTATGTCTCCTGTGCTGTTTTGTAGAACATCACGTAAATATCAACCTTCACCTCACAGACTACCCTGTTTCCCACACCTGCCAAGATTCCTACTGCAGCACTGTGTAACACAATGTATATTGTACTGCGTGAGTTATGGTCTATTTATACCCTGCCTTGATACTGTGATGCGTGTCTTACCGTGGAATTCAGCACTCGGTGCCCCCCTCACAATATACTTAAAGTCGGTGGTATTTGCTCCTTCGTAAATCTTACACAGAATGTACTTGAACACCCCAGTGCCCCCGATCTCCACATCGGGAACGCCGGCAAGTTTGGGATTCACCGGGAGGGTCCTCCCAGGCATGGTCAACGCTTGTTTGCTACTGTCAGTTTATATGTTCAAATGTATCACGTAAACGTGCATGAATCCTCTTATGTTAATTAATCCATCATTTAGGTTTAGGTTGTGTAGAGGCAACTTTCAGGCAATATTCATTCAGGTGAGAAAAGCACTTCTTCGTGTTATTCGCACCGCTCACGTTGCATGAGCTAGTACTTGATGATTATAATTGTCATCCAGAGTCAACTGGCATCTGTCGTTTCACACCAGCTTTCAAAGCACAGGGACAAACACTGCGAGATGTTTTGCTGAACTGGTTTCCGAGTCCTCGAAAGATTATCGGGATCCCACTTCGTTTCCGGTGTCATGTCATGATCCAAATGTTTTCTTGATGTTCTAGTCCTTCTAAATCATCATCCACAACAAAATATCAAAATATCCCATAATACGACTGTAATGTCGGCCGTAGAAAAATTCTTGACGCACTTTGTTTTCTCTGTTTGGGATAGCCCTTTTCATAACGAGGCTGAGGGGAATCCTTGCCAAGGGAGAATTCATTGTTTAGCATGAGTTCACGATAGTCGTCGTTTCCATGACACCACTTCGATGTTAACTAGCTGTGTTTGTTATATTGCCCAATCTCAATACACGTTTCGGTATTTCAATAGTTTGAAACGATATTTTATGTGAAACAAACTTAAACTGTATATTGCTTTAAATAGGTAACTAACCGTGGTTAATTCATATTTTTTTCTCTTCAAGGTTTCAACATTTTCTTGCAACATATGTTTAATACTCTTTAGAAATGCTTTGTCCTAACTCGTGAATAACATTGCTTCCTAGATTTTTAATTAGTCCAAAGGTAGTGATTGACAATAATTGTCAGGTAATTTTTAAACAGAATTTTTTTTTTTCGATAAGATCTATTTACAGTACATTGTTTAAAACGTTTAGCATATATTTTGTTGATGATAGCTGCATAAAATAATCAGAATGATGCTGTAATTAAAGAGACCAAAGTCAAGTAATTATTTTTTTAATGAAATATTTTAGAAATATTCAAGTATTATACAGGATGATATATATTCCATATCATGAAGATCTCGTATATTCCAGACGGATCGTTATGTGACAAAGAGCTGCACAATCTTTCATAAATCACCACAGCATTCGAGATAATGTGAATTCGTGACCACTCGTATTATCCCGCCTGCACTATACTCCAAGGGGCGACTGGTCGGAGAGGTCACGAGTGCGTGTCGGCACAAAAACATTGCGTCAGACAGAGAAGCGGCTGTAAAAGGTAGGGTAAGGAACGGGTAGGTAAAATATATACTCGTTACAGCCACAGATCCATAAACACTGGCGGATCAAGGGGTCGGGTACAGGGGTGCGCACACCTACTTTCTGACACATGTCGTGTGTTTGTGTTCAGCTTGTTTTTTAATTGTGACTTGGGTATAGTGCGCACCCCGTTTCAATCCCCTTGGAGATCCGGGTTAGAATTAATCTTCAGTAACCCATTCTTGTCCTAAAAAGTGACAAACGGGATCGGGTGGTCAGGTTCGCTGACTTGGTTGATGCATGCAAACGTGTCTCAACTACAAAGATTGATGTTTATGATATCAAACACTGGGTTGTCTGGTCCAGACTGGAATATTGATGAGTGCGGCGTTAACAACAAACAAACAAACAAAACAAACAAACACTCTATTTCAAACTCATGGATACGCCTCTGCATGCATAAATCAGATTTTGATATTTATTTAACAATTGGTCGCTTCATGTATACTCACAAGACAAGCACCTATTGGTGCATGCGAGTCATGGGATCTATTGTGCTCGAGATACACGTGTACGTTACTAAAAGCCATCTTGTTTATATTGTATACCCGTTACTCAGTCGCTGGTGAAATATCGTTAGAATTCGTAAACATAAATAAGCTGTTAACGACAGTTAACGTTGTCATAGTCCTAACACCAATATCAATAATTCATAATTGTATCATGAACTATTGTAGTTTGACATAATTATTATCTTTGTGTAAAGTTTATGCAAGAAAAGTACTGATCGATGTAATCGACATTCAATAGACAAAGCATGTTTAACCATCGATGACCAAGTAAAGTCAAGTCACATGACAAAATTAGGAGGTCATTGTTTAGACTCATTTCATCAAAATTCCATTTGAAAAGGCAAATGACTTTGACCCAGCAGTGACTGGGTACCCGGTAATGAAAATTTTGATATGAACGCAAATTGTAATTTTTAGGACAATCGAATTTAGAAAGCAGCAAAATATGTCCTTATTAAGTTGCCATTCTCAAAACATTATAAAAAGACCATGAAACATTGTTTTATTGGGTTTACAGATTTTTCTACTTATTTCGAGCACATTCAACATGAGCACAGGTCATGAATTAGGCAGTTCGTAAAGGAAGAAAATCGCACCACTTAATCTAGTTATGTACCAAATCCGGATTTCTGCTGTCTGCAGTCTTTCGTATGACACAGCTAGATTCAATGTCAAATGCAAATGCTAAATTTGATTAAGTAATGACAGATGATCATTACTAATCAACCAGTGATTACGTGAATGCCAAGCTTAAATGGTAGCAGTAGGTCAGGCGGATGGCATCGAACGCATTCTGAACACGCCACAATGTATAATACAGGCAGAGAGTGGGGAGTATAGTTTAACATTATTCCAGTTTTACCACGACCTGTCAACTTAATATGGGAAGAAAGCCCGCGTGTGATGTAGGTCTTAGACGTTTAACATGCGCGAGAACGTATGCAGCTCACAACCTAGAATCAAGGCGAATATGGGATTCTAACCCACTATAATAATGACGCAAAGGACTATACACCCAAAGGACGCAACTCCGCACAGCGAATTGTGGCCGCACCTTGGACGAACTGACCAACCGCGCCCAAAAATATAAACAGTGTCCCTTGGTGTTTGGCGATCACCTAGACTAACATATAGTCTCTGAAATGAACATATCGTACAGAAAAAAACAGTTGCTCAGTTATCTTAATAAAAATATAATAAAAAGGGAGCCTAGTGATTCTCTTCATTTTCAGGTACTGATACTGCAGTAATCTAGACTTGCCAAACATTATATACTTGCATGGGCTGTAGTTGATATATTTGTATCAGGGTCTGTAAGACAGACTAGGCGATCACCCCACACCACGCCTCAGAGATTGTGGCCATCCGATCAGCTGTCTTGTTTTCTTCAGGGCAATGATGTGTGCTGTTGTGAAGTTTAACATGTGTATGGGGGTAAACCCTAGTCATACAGACACTGAAACAAAAATATCCAATACAGCCCATGCAAGTCTATAATATTTGACAAGACTAGATTACTGCAGTATCTGAAAACTGTAATTAAACACTGTCGTAGGTGTTAGTCTAGGGTAACCCCTGAGATCTTTTAGCTGCACCACAAATACTTCCACCGTTACACCTGGATAAAGACAAAATAATGTATTAGCGACAGCTTTGGTCATTAATACCCACATATATATTTGGTGTTCTCTAATCATAAACGTAATTATATATATCTAGTTCAAGGGGATAAAAAGGCGTTAGCCACACCTCTTCATTAAGCTGTCACAACATATCCTCTTTGTGAGAAATGCGGGCAAATTCTTCAGGGGAGATAACTCTTACACTCCCATGTTCACATCATCTGCGCTCTCTGAGGATTGACACACTGATGATGCGTGTACACAGAGACCATATAATAGACTCTGGTGTACATGAAAAACTGTATTCATTGGTTTAGCTTAATTGTTTAGTTTAGATGTAATGCATGTAAAATGTATTTATTTACATGTTACAAATGTTTCAGTTGACAAAGCTATATTCTGAATTAAAGAAAGACAAACAAATTAGGAATGTTGCGCTTTATACATAATTTTATAGAACAGACTATAGCATAGACACCATAGTTAACCATCATCGCCGCGGCTGACTGCACGATCAGTGTAGACATCATCCGATGGTTGACTGAGGTGTTCCAATTCATTCACTGACAGGGAAACATCGGCCACGAAACAATACGCCCTTAAACACACAACGATTTCCTCTCCCGCTTTGTCAGACAAATCACGTTGAAGGTCCCATAAATGAAAAATATTGACCTGAGTGTGATGGATAAATTTAACGTGTCGCCCTGCGTTAAGCTTATCCAAATGAGGCCAGTATTGTTTTAGTGTCTGAATGGTATCGTACGTTGTGCAGATTTGTGGTATTTTAATGAGCATAATAAAACAGATGAGAAGGTAGGGATGTTTTATGGATGCGAATGTTATGAATCTACATAGTGTACATGAAGACTGGGGGTGTTCGTGTGCAACGCGGCTTTCAGCACCGTGTAATTAACAATGGCCGAGTCACAACTAATGGACATAATACATTTGATTGTGATGTGGGGAAGGGCAGGGTTGTGTGGGGTTGTGTGATGCGGGCAGGATTTTGTGATGTGGGCAGGGTTGTGTGATGTGGGCAGGGTTGTGTGATGTGGAGCAAGGTTTTGTGATGTGGGCAGGGTTGTGTGGGGTTGTTTGATGTGGGCGGGGTTCGGTGATGTGGAGCAGGGTTGTGTTGGATTGTGTGATGTGGGCAAGTATAGGTGGCGTTGTGTGATGTCGGCAGGGTTCGGTGATGTGGAGCAGGGTTGTGTTGGATTGTGTGATGTGGGCAAGTATAGGTGGCGTTGTGTGATGTGGGCGGGGTTCGGTGATGTAGAGCAGGGTTGTGTGGGGTTGTTTGATGTGGGCGGGGTTGTGTGATGTGGGACAGAGTTGGATGTGGTTGTGTGATGTGGGCAGGGTTCGGTGATGTGGAGCAGGGTTGTGTGGGATTTTGTGTTGTGGGGCAGAGTTGGATGTGGTTGTGTGATGTGGGCAGGGTTGTGTGGGGTTGTTTGATGTGGGCGGGGTTGTGTGATGTGGGACAGAGTTGGATGTGGTTGTGTGATGTGGGCAGGGTTCGGTGATGTGGAGCAGGGTTGTGTGGGGTTGTGTGATGTGGGACAGAGTTGGATGTGGTTGGGTAGGGTTGTGTGGGGTTGTGTGATGTGGGACAGAGTTGGATGTGGTTGGGTATTGTTGGGTAGGGTTGGTGGGGTTTAGTAAGATTGGGTAGGTGGATTGGGTTTGGTCGGAGTGGTAGTGGCGGCGGTACTGGTTAACAAAATGCTCTTCTTTCTTTTTTTAATATTGCACCCACAAGTCCTATTTGTCTGTATAATAGGTCTTCAGCAACCCATGCTTGCCCTGAAAGGCGACTAGATGCTTGTCGTAAGAGGCGACTAACGGGATCGGGTCGTCAATCTCGCTGACTTGATGCATGTCATCGTACCTCAATTGCGTGGATCGATGCTCATGATGTCAAACACTGGGTTGTCTGGTCCAGACTCGATTATTAACAGATCGCCATCATATAGCTGGAGATTTGCTAAGTGCGGCGTTAAACAACAAACAAACAAAACAAACAAATC